AAGTTTAGGATTTAGGATTTAGGATCAAGGCAAAGCCGACTAAGGGGGCGTACTAGAGGGGTCACTATAGGGGTTACTACAAGCGCTTCTGCCGGTGTTACTGTTGGGGTCTCCAGGGGGTCTCAGTTTCTTAAAGCCCTAGGAGTTATTTTATATGCTAAATTCAGAGAAGGATCCTGAATCTTACAAACCACCCAGTGGGCAGGGCGGTCCATGCTTTTTTCCGCGGCATAGCCTCAAGCCTACAAGGCGGCTGCCCAGTGTGGCATCGGGGCTTCATAAGTGGACAGAATCGGACCGCACAGCAGTCAATTTGGCAGTTTTGTTTCTTGAACAGGTTTGGATACCAGCAGGGTTCTGTCGGGTCTTCAAGGAAATAGGAGCTTCATCATGAGCACAGGAGGGGGCTTGTCGCTTCATTGCAATGTGTCTTGGTGTAGAGTTTACGACGAAATGGTGCTGATTGTTGGGGCATGCTCGGCCGCTGGTGCTGTTTCCGAAAGCGCTCTGTTGCGGGCAACATCGTCGTACCCGTATCGATGCTGCCAGCATCATCATCATCATCATCATCACCATCACCATCAGTGGGCCTTGTCATGGTCCTTGTTTTTCGTTGTCTTAGTTGCCCCGGTTGTTGGCCGTTGATTGTTTGATTTTGGTTGTTGACTGCTGGCTGTTGGCTGTTGGCTGCTCTTCGTTGCTGGCGGTCAACTCTTTGCTGTTGTTTGTTGGTTGCTTGGTGGGAGTGTGCGGCTGTTGTTTTGCTGCTGCTGTTGCTGCTGTTGCTGCTGCTGCTGCTGCTGCTGCTGCTGCTGCTGCTGCTGCAGCGAACGCAGCAGAACATGACCGGACTACTGGCAAGATGCCAGGACACATGATATGGATGATAATGAAGCGTTCGACTTGTGGGAAGAGAAGCGGTAGGGTCCTGACTTAGGAGTAGCACGGGGTTTGGAAAATACCGCCTGTAATGCAGTTCAGTATATTGTAACCTTATGACGCCAGAATGGCCGAAGTGAAGCAGGCACCTGGCATCGAAGCTCAACCCGAGACACGCAGCGTTTGATGCATGATGATGGTTGTGTAAGGATGACCGACCTAAATCCTACATCCTGCACAGCCCTGTCCAACTACAGACATAAACCCTTCTGAACCCTGAAGCCTAAATCCAAAGCCCTCCTGGATCGTTGATTGGGGACCGGAACCTCAGCCCTAAACCCCAAACCCTTGCCTGGGACAGGTCGGCGCGTGGAGGAGTCAAGCTGGTGCATCGGCCTGCGATTTGGGTTTCAGGTTCGCGAAGGGTGTGGCGGTTCAGCGACTTAGGGTCAGGTCGGTTCAGCAACAGTTTCGAGCTTCCAGTTTGGGGCTTTTTGGGGGGTAAGTTGAGTCTGCGGCTTATGTCTTGGAGTGTCTACTACTACTACTACTACTACTACTACTACTACTACTCCTGCTACTACTACTACTACTACTACTACTACGACTACTACTACTACTAATTCGGTTTGCAGTCCAAGTTGCTAGGAAGTTGAACATGCCGTTGTGCAGTCCTGGGCCTTCTTGCAGTTCTTGTGCTTCAACCATCGTTGCGGTTGCCTCGGTTTAGGGTTTAGGGTTTAGGGTTTAGGGTTTAGGGACTACGAATCCTGTTCCTGTTGGCGGTCTAGAAGGAGAAGGGGGGCTTCCCTGCTCTCGCTGCATGATCTGTTAGACTCCCAAAGACTGAACTCTTAATTTGGCTGTGCTACTAGACACATGAAACTACATGCCATCTCCACCCTAACCCTAACCCTAAACTGCAGACTCTTGCACACACCCTAAACCCTAAACCCTAAACCCTAAATCCTAAACCCTAAATCCTAAACCCTAAACCCTAAATCCTAAACCCTAAACCCTAAACCCTAAACCCTAACCCTAAACTGCAGACGTTTGCAGTGTGCAAGGCATTGAGAGGGGGTCTGGGCTCGCCCGTTGTTTCAGGAGAGTAGATGCACGTGATGCACCGAAGCTGAGACGTTTAAGCTTAGAGCAACGTCGCTGCTTTGTTGACGGAATCATTTTGGGGTAGTTTTGGGTCTGGGGTTTTGGGTTTAGGGTTTTTTTTGGGGTTCAGGGTTGGCATTTGCATGAGACGTGTTGGGGGTTTGTCCCAGGTGTTGTCGAGTGGGTCTTCCACCGGACCAGTTGGAGGACCCGCTCAGCTCTGCTTGGAACCGCTGTGTTATGTTTGGACTCTATAGGCCCTAAGCCCCAAAGCACCTATCCTACCCGTATTCTACCCTTGCAAGAGTTCTTATAGTTCCCCTAAACGTAATTTAGGGGCCTCAACAGTTATTTTGGGAGTTCCTTATGATAAATATACTATAATGGACCCCAAACCCTATTCTAATCATAAGGCTCTTACATTACGCTTATGTTACCCGAAGAACCCCTGTAGCACCCTCAACAGTCGAGCTTCCCTTCTGGCTGTGACTTTTTAGACTCCAGAAGCCTTCATGACTCCGGTTTAGGTTCTGAGGCTTTGGGTTTAGGGTTTGGGGTTCCCTACACCCCAAACCCTAAACCCGAAACTCTCAACCCTAAGGCCTAAACTCCACACTCCCTACACCCTAAACCGTTCGAGTGCAGGAACATCCCACTGCCTCCAGCTGACAAAGTGGGAATTCGGGTGTAGGGGTGTAGGGATTTGCGGTTCAGGGCTAGCAATCTGGGTGTAGCGGTCAGGGTTCGGGGATCAGGTTTAGGGTGTAGGGTCTTAACTACCTGTGTTTGATCCGGAGGAGTACGCAAAGCCATGAACAGCGGGAGGGTTTGATGATCGAAACGTGTCAGCTTCATGACGTCGGAGCAATGCGGCGACGCCGGCCACATCAGAGTTAGAGATGAGAGGTTTGGACTCGAAAGTTCTAGACCAGCATTTAGGATAGTTAGTTGAAGGGTCGATTGCTTCTGGGTACCTCACTTGGAGTGATACGTGGCTTTGACAACAGCAAACAGAAACAAGCTATGGAAGCCAATCCTAGGTGTACTCTGGGAGGAAGCCATTATGCTATGAGCCTAAACCCTAAACCCCGTTTAATGCTTTAGGGGTTTAGGGTTTAGAGCTTAGAGCCCTAAAAGCATAAACCCCCAAAGCCCCAAGCCCCAAACCCCCAAGCTGCACCAGAAATTACGGCCCGAGGCCTCGGAGACCCCCTTTACCTCGAGTTTCAGAGGACCTCCTCGTCGCCGCCGAGATCCCGGTCATCGCCATGGACCTGAAGGGCCGGGTGTGTAGCCACCCAGCTGCTTTCGGGTTTAGGGTTTAGGGATTTTAGGGTGTCGGGTTGAGGGTCTAGGGATTTTAGGGTTTAGGGTTTTTAGGGTTTAGGGTTTGTCTTGGATTCGCGTGCTTTGTGGTCGGAGATTTACGGTCAATGGTTTCGGGTTGAGAGGTCTAGGTCCAGGGTTTTCGGTTTCAGCTTGTCGGGTTAGGCTTAGGGCAATATCCGTAAGTAAGGATTCCTCTAATGTAGGGACCTTATTAATTACCTATATTATTTTGGGGGTTCCTGACTAGCATTATAGTTTAAAGGGCCCCAAAGCCCATAAAGGCATCCGGTATCGCATGTCTGAGTAGGTCGCGGCAGCGCTTGAGATTCCCACGACGGGAGCAGTAGAGAACACACACTCTGCAAAGCAACAGAGGGCCCATGTTCGCGGCGTTGACAGCAGGGGGAGGACGCAGAGAAAAGCAGTAGAGGAGCAAGCTTCCAAAGCTTACCCCCCAAAAATCCCTAATCAATCCTACATACTCTAAGACTCTAAACCCTCAAACCCGACTGAAAACACAAAAAAAAGTCTCAACCATCGACTCCAAACTCACAAAGATCACGGAAAGCTGCATGATTCCCAAAAGGTCTCGGCTTAGGAGCTGATTTCTAGAGCTTTGTATGTCATTGTCGGGATGTCGTTCATTTTGACTGCAGAAGCTTCACAAGACACCAAAACTCCCTTAAAGCCCTTTTAATCCCCTTCAAGACCCGTACAGAAAAGATCCTCCGCCAAGCCCCTTCCCTCGATTGCCAAGGCATGAATTCGACTGCTTCGGCACCTTTTCTGCACAGCGGAGCAGAGCTTTGCCTTGGGGCAACATGGGGTGGGGGGTTCAAGAAAGAACGCCCGAAACCCCTAAACACCTGAATGAAACCCTTAAGCCCCATACAAATCTGATATGTCAAACAACTCGAAGTCCTTGTTGGGGATCCTCATAGTGAGGATTCTACAAGCGATTGTTTTCCCACGAACCTTCCATATTGGGCCTTCAGCCTTAAGACTCAGTATGATCATTCCTGAAGGGTTCCCTGAAAATATGAGTGGCATATGGGTAGTTCTCTAAATCAGGGTCCCTTTTAGAGTCTTTTTAAAAGGGTGCCGCACTACATCGGGGACCCAAAAAAGGGCCCTAATTTGGAAAACTACCCATATGACTTGAGGACATCACACCCGGCCGGAATGGGGCAGCAGCTAAGGTATATACCCTAAACCCTAAACCCTAAACCCTAAACCCTAGACCCTAAGCTGTTGTGTTGTATTCTTGGGATCTATAGTGTGTGGTAAAGACACGGACCTCAAGAGAGTAATATAGAGGCCTTAATAATTAGAATCGGGTTTGGGGTATATTCTACTATATTTATAGTAAGGAACCCCCAGAACCCTATTCCAATTCTTAAGGCCCCTATATTAAGGCCCCTATATTAACGAGGGATTCATCGAGGCCTTGGCTTCCCAGGCTTTGCAAGACCCCCTGGGCCCCGAAGGCTCGCGGCTCAGCAGCCGACCGGCAATGCCCAGCTCCAGCAAAACCCCTCAAGCCCTAAAACCCTGAAGCCAAAACCCGCCACCTCTCAACCCAAAAGCCCCAAAGCCTCTAGCCCAACGTCGACGCCTAGACCCGAACGTCCTTGAACCCCGAACCCGAGGCCCCCTACCTCTGAGCCTTCAGCTTTTTCCGGGCCATGGCTCCTGAGCCTTCGTCCTACGGCTCGTCGTCCGAGTCGGAGAGCTCCCTCGAGAGCTCAGAAAGTTCGGACTGTTCTCGGCCTCTTAAGGGCCTGAGCCCTTGCAGCTGGGTTCTGAGATCAGGAGGGTTTAGGGTTTAGGGTTCTGAGTTCAGGGGCTTTAGTCAGGCTCTGGAATTTACTAACCCTAAGTAAGGGTTTTTTTGCATGTATACGTATCTGCACATACATTTATAGCCATTTTTGTTGCGAGGCTTCTTGTCAAGGAACCTAAGTTTGTAAGGAACCTAAGTAAGGGTGCTTTAGGGTTTTATGAGGGTTCTGGCTACCAGGCTTTCGTAAGACTTCGATCATCGTTTCGCTTCTGTAGTACCAGAGATGCTTATCTTGGTCCCCTGTAAGAGCCTTACACTTCAGCAAGAGCCCCAAACCCTAAAAAACCCTAAAACCCATAAACCCCTAATCCCCTAAGCCCTAAACCCCTAAACCCAAAACTCCTAAAGCCCTAAACCCCTAAACCTCCTGGTAAGGAATTCTAGCCGTATCTGCACATTTAAGAAAAACAAAAAACTATAGACCTCTAAACCCAGGTAAACCCTAAACCCTAAACCCTAAACCCTAAACCCAGGCAAGCACTACGAGAGGGTGCAGATGCAGCTGATCGGTTCTCAGGCCCTGAAGGCTTCGCGGCTAGGAGGGCCGAGGCCTCAGCGCCTGCCGGATGGCTCCTGGGTCACCGCCAAGTCGCTGGGTGGTTTGTTGGTACGGTTTAGGGTTTAGGGTTTAGGGTTTAGGGTGGTTTTTGGTAGGGCATGTTTCCATCTTTTTTGCAGAGAATCAGCGAAGGGGGTGGAAATATGCCTATTTGTTTTTGGGTCATTTTGGGTCAAAGGGGCTTGAAGGTATTGGGGCATCAGCCAGAAGCAGATCTCAGAGCTTTACCAGTCAAGTCGTCTGGAGCCAGGCTGGTCTGACGATGCCGATGTGCATCACTTCGTCGAGACTTTTGTGAAGCCTGCCACTGCTGGCACTGAGATGGGCTACGCACTCATGCTGAACCAGCATGCTCCACAGCAAGTCACACTCATGATCTCCCATGCCTGGGTGGAAAACACACGGGAATTCTTTGAAGACGTACTGGCATCTACCTGGGACACAGAGGTGGCATTCATCTGCTTCCTTTCCAACTTTCAAGGCACTCCCGAGCAGATCGACGCGCAGCTGGGCAATGACATTCTCAAGAGCCCCTTTACGGAGGTGATCAGAAGTCCGGCTTGCCAGCGCATGCTTGTGGTGCCGAATGAAGCGCTGCGACAGAACGGGCGCGGCCTGTACAGTAGACTCTGGTGCATCTGGGAGATCAAGGTGGCAGCAGATGCCGGACTCCCGATACAGATCGTGGATCGGAAGAGCGACGAGGAGTACTTGCTCGGTAACTCCACGGTGTCTTCCAAGAATGCTCGCTGCGGAGATCCTGACCTGCCCATGAACAAAGATGAGCAGCTGATCCGCTCGGCCATTCACAAGCTACCACCCCAGAGCTCGCGTTCGGCCGCCGCGGCCTGTTTCGCGGTTTGCTTCTGCTGTTCCTATGGAAGCTGCATCGGGGTCAACTTGACCAAGAGTTATCTCGGCCTGCTTTGTGGCACTCTCGTCGGCTTATTGACGAGTACCTTGGCCATCACTTTCATTGTCCAACGGCTGCGCAAGTGCGCATGGAATTTGCGAGACCTTTCTGGGTATCACATCCTGGACAGAGTCATTCGAGATTCTGCCAGGGGTGCTTATTCGTGGAGGCAGGGCTGTTGCGGCAACTACTTGAGATCTCTTTGCGTTGCAACTAGGGCTGAGGGTCCTTGCTCCTTCTCCCATGTTTTGTTTCCTGGCTCCAAGCACAGACGCCCAACCAGGCGAATCACAGCACATGGTGACGTGCCACTCATGATAGCGACAACCATCTTTTGGGCCGGCTTCGGTGTTGCCCTGCGCTACAGCCTGCAGCCTCTTGGTCGTATGTTGAAGTGTTTGTGATGTGGAGTTCTTGTTGACTCCAATCCCATCAGAAGAAGACCACAGACCACTTGTAAGCTTCAGAACTTAAGGCAGCTCAGCGAACCTTAGGTGATCTAATCTGTAATATGAGGTTCCCAGCAACAGGACAGGACTAGCCGAATTCTCCATGTAAGGAGCGCCTTGCCCCAAACTGCTAACCCCAAACGGCCGCCCAACCCCAAAGCCCCGAAAAGCCCCGAATCCCTACGATAAGTACAAACCTCCTAAGTTTGACTCTCCGACCCAAGCCTGTCCCTACACCGCGAAGCCCAAAATATAAGCCCCGAAAGCTTTAAAGCTTTAAACACCCTAAACCCTAAACCCTGTCAAGGCGATTCCACAGACAGAATCGTTGATTGACGCCAATTCGTAATGATCCTGTAGTCTAGTCTCCAAGTGGTTGCTTCGAGACTGTCCGAGAGACCGCATGCATAAACCCTAAACGATCCGTGAGCTGGCCCAAGGTCGACACGCTCGTTTAAACCCTAAACCCTAAACCCGAAACCCTAACCCTCAACACAAAAGCTTGTATCTCGCAGGTCTGGCCAAGAGGCCGACTGGGCCAAGGCTGCCGTGGAGGGCATCTGGGCTCTGTCTCAAGAAATGTACTCTAGGTTTAGGGGGTTTAGCGTGTTTAGGGTTTGGATTTTAGGGGCTTTCTGAATTCGTTCTCCAGCTTTTTTCTGAACATTGTTTTCGTCGTCGATTTTTGTTGGGCTTCGAAGCTCGGAATACAGTCCCCCCGGGTTTAGGGTTTTGAGGTTTGGGAGATGGGGTGCAAGGAAAGCACGATATCTACTATGCATGTCTGTGATGGTCTTCACTTAAGCTTTAACTCGGACCAAGCCACCAGAATAGGGATTGATGGCGAATGGCATGCTTCTCTCGTTCGGGTCATATCGGCGCCTAAGTATTTTTTCAATTTTATTCCTTAGGGCTCCTGACTGCAACCAGAATATACAGGAGCCCAAAACTCTATTCCTATTTATTAAGGGCCCTACATTTAAGCCCTTATAGAACCCGTATAATAACCCTTATAGCAACCCTTTAACGGAACCCTATTCTAGTTATCAAGGCCCCTAAACCCTAAACCTTTATAGTAGCCCTTCGAGAACCCTTTCAGGAACCCTGTAAAGGA